GACAGGGGTTGCAGGAACAAAGCTGCCCTTTCTTCTGTGCTTTCAGATGCTCACCAAGAAGAGCATGTGCTAACCCAAGGGGTGGGGATGCTGCAGGCTGCAGGTTGGGGAGCTCTGGGTTGCAGAACCATCTTGGAGCTTAATAGCAGTTGTTTGTGACACTGTGTCAGGTTCCCTGGCTTTGAAAATTGAAACCCGTGGAAGAACAGTGTGGTTTTGATCTCTGCTTTTCTCCTATGGTGTTTTATATACAGTGTATTGATGTCTCATAAACCTGAGATAATCCCTTGCAATTCTCACACTGTTAAGCCTTTGCCTTCTCTGTCAGGTCCAGGCTATAGAGAAGCAGTGAGCCACTGCAGAAATCATTATGCTCTTTCTTTTTCACATCTTTGTGTAGGTTTCATGGTGCTTTTTTTTATTTTATAAGAGAAAAAAAAAAAAAGACATCTTCATTACTGAGCTACGAAACTGTGCTGATGTCTTCAAAGACTGGCCAAGAGAGACTGTTCAGGGCTGGAGACACATTTGTTTTCCTAGGCATTTCCAACACTGCCTGCTCAGCGAACAGCGGCGTGTTGCACCGTAGTGACATTTGCACGCAGACATACGATGTGATCGAAGCCTTCCTGAAGGGTAACCCCCCGCTAGGAAGTTCTTTAGTGCCAGCACAGTCTGCAGATGCCATTGATAGACAAGCAGCTGCTCTTTTGCATCCTTGATTTTGTTGTTTCCCAGAGGCTGCCTACTGTTTCAGTCTTGTTTTCCTTCGTAGGTTCTGTGGGCACCCCACTTCCAGGGGTGAAAGTGCGCATTGCCACGGAGACCTTGAAGCATGGTGCCCGTTCCTACACCGTCCTTGCTCAGGGAGATGAAGACAACACACAGGTAGCGCTCAGCCATGTTCTCTGCTGCTTCACTCTGCCTCGTGAAGAGTTCTCTCCTCCCCAGCCCTTTGAAGCCCCAAGGACCGAGGCTTGCACTGCTGTTATTCCCGGGAGCTCAGTGATGCTACTTGTTTTCTCTTTCTTGCGTCCTTGTCATGGGTTACTATGGCCATGGTATGTTACAGACCTCACAAGTGTTGTCTTTGATGAACAATATCTGAGAGAAAACACACCCCCCCCCGCGTGTGAGTGGGAGGTGAAGGCTGTGATATAAGGGCTGTGGGCTACGGTATAAGAAAATGATACTGTGTCTGCTGAGGCTGTTGATGCCTCAGTGGAAGGTGATGGGTTAAGCAGTGCCTGGCCTTTGGAAGCCGGGACAAAAAGTTGAAGTCTCCTGCAGAAAGTAAAAGCAAAGTGTAGAAGGAAATTTAGATGGACCCTACTCTGGTCTAGGGAGTCACTAAATAGCTGCAGTCTTGGGGAGAGGATGAGTGATTTGTCACCCCAGAAGTAGGGTCTGTGTGTATTTCACTGGGTGTGATCGGGGGTTTAGCAGTGAGAATTGGAAGGGCAGGACTGGTGGCCTTGGGGTTGCATTCATTTCAAAACGGCGCAGGGGGAAACCCGTTGGGTTTCCATGGAAGTCCAGCTCTGTGCCGAGCTCCACCTGCCAGGTGATACCTGTGCCAGCAGTTCTGCCATTGTAGGGGACGGATTTCCTTGGTGGTGAAGGGGTTGGGCCCCCTTCCCCATGAGCGGCCCCGGTGTTGTGGTGCCGTGTGTCCCCCCCCTGCAGAAGCAGCCCCCAGCCCAGGGGTGGGGGTGTCCTGCTGCCTCAGCCCCTGTCTCTCCCCTCAGAAACGGCTGATCAGGGTCTGCGTTCCCACCACGTCTCCTCTGCACCCTCATTGTGGGTGCAGGTCACGTCGCCTCGGGCACATCGATAGCCAGGTGATGTATGGGCTCGGCTGAGTGGATAGATGCTGTGTGTGCCAGAGAAATTACGGCAGCAGTCGCGTGCGCCGTGTGGGTGGGAGACAGGAGGCGTGAGATTCCACCTGAAATACGGGGCTTCACTCCTTCCTCCGGGGGAACAGCTTCTCACCTAGCCACGGGCATGCCGAGGCTTCCAGAGGAGCTTCCCGCTCTGCGGCAGGGTGTACCAGAGACTGCTGGTGTAAGGACTGGTGGAAGGCTCAAGAAAGCCGTTATTTTTTTTTTTTTTTTTCAGCTGGAGCCAGCGGGACCACGGGCAGCCCCGCGTGTGGGTTGGGGTCAACTGCAGCAGATCGCTCTGTGCCTTCCGATGCCGTAATGGAGCGCTGGATCCCACCCCAGACGTGCAAAATGAGCCTGGGGGGAAGCTGAGAGGGGCTGCTCTGGCCAGGGACTGTGGCTTTTATTTTTTTCTTTAAAAAAAAAAGGGGGGTTGCTGCTCTTTACCTTGTGTCACTGCTGTGGCATGGCAAAGCAGGAGATCTGGAGTGACCGCCCCAGTGCCAGCGCTCAACTGTCCTGTTTTATCGCTCCGCTGGATGAGTGTTGTGTTTCAAGATTTTGTCCCCTCATCCTGGTGTTAGATCTTGGCCTTTTTTTTTTTCCCCCTTGTGTGGAACTGAGACATGAAATATAATGTGTCCATTTTAATAATGATTCTATAATGCCTTTTTTACCCTAAGGGATCCCTAGGCGCTTTACCAATTAGGTCTCAGACACAAGAATCCCCAAAGTGCAGCTACTTCCAGGATAAAATGTGGATGTTGTTCTTCTGAATTATGAGAGGAAAAAATACATGATTTTTTTTTTTCTGCTCAATACTCCTTCACCACCTTCTGGTTGTATTGAGTGACTGGAGAAGGCGAGCCCATATGACCTGTGTCTGCTGCTGGAAGCCCACCACCCCCCAGATTGCTGAGACTCACATAACTCTTGTGTTTTCTCTGGCTTCAGGCTGCTGGAGTTTATATTTGGAGCAGAGGAATTGCCCTTTTATCCCACCATTTCTCCCATTACACCCTTCAGCTCCCAGCGTGGGAGGCTGAGGTCTACATCAACATCTCACGGTGCTCCCAGGAGCTCCCACCAGTGCTGGTGTTGGCCCCACGCCCCTTGCTGAAATCAGCCCCGGCTGATTTTCCGTCAGGCTCTCCCTTGGGGCTTTTTTAAATGTTCTGGTGAATTCTCAAGACATCAGCCTGGGAGGGTGTGGGGAGGTGGTAGAGTTTGCTCGGATAGGTTGGTCCCTCTCTGAAGGGCTGTCCCTATCTCACCCATCTTGCCCCTTGCCTCAGGGAGTTTCTTTAGGCTGAAGGGAAAGAAATGGTTCCATCTGCTTGGGGCCACCCTGGGAGACAGTGGCTGGCTGGGTACCTCCAGGACATCCTCAGCATTTCCAGGAGCAGAGCGGAGCCGGCTGCCTCCGTCCCTGGGACTGTCAGAAGGGCCGTGGGACAAGGTGGGAAAAACAGTTGCTGCTCTCAGCGTGTCTTGGCAGGGATGGATGTGGGGAGATGCCAGGAGTTTGTTTTTTGTACGGCCCAGGTATGGAGTGTGACTTTCCATCGCGTAGGCCGTGCTGGCGGGCAGGTGGCAGCCGTGGTGACACACCTCTTCTCCCGGGGACGGTGTAATTTAACTGCTTGACACCTGCGGTCGCAGGCAGAGAGTCTCACCTGCTGCCCACTCCTGCCCTGAGATGCTGCTGCTGGCACACTCTGTGCATCATGCTTGGTTAATAATTTATGTCAGAAGAGAGTACGTCAGTGGAATTTATTTAAAACAAGGAGGATCTGACAGTCCAAGTGCTGATCACGCTCCGTCAGTCAAAGAAAGGCCTGGCTTTGTTTAAAATCAGCTCCTGCACAGCAGAGGGGCTGTCCCTGGGATGAGAAGACCTGGTTGGTGTCACCCTCCCTACACGTGCCACCAGACAACCCTGGCATGGCCTTTTGCTTGTCCCTTATGAAAAGGGATAAACAAATACTTCCTCGTCTCCCTCGCAGAAGGGCTCTGGGGCTTGCAGTGTGTTCACTGAGGGCTGGGAGCTCTGTGCCAAAGGCGGAGGGGTCCCGGTGGCAGGACGGTGGTGGGGCTGGTGGCAGGAGGCACAGAGCGCCTGCTCTGCTCGGGTTTGATCGGAGCATCCGCAGCCCCATCCCTGCTCCAGGC